GTCCATTAAATTGCATTGTATTTTTTTTCCATACTTATGTTCTGGTAATACAAAAATTCAAATATTTGTATTCCTAAATCTCTATTTTTTAAGTCCTAGATTTTTTTAAGTTAAGATTTTCCTCATGCTAGAATAATGAGATTTTTTTCTCAAACTGCGATCTAGAAAAGTTGTCCCAGAGTTATGATTCCTCAATTACAGAAAATTTTATTCTTGGGAGGAATAGAGCAAAGTAAAAAGACAACCAGTTCGTTATAACGACTACAAACTAACTTAGCTCTATGTACATTTAATTCTAGACTGCAGTTCTACATGTTGCTAAATGCATCGCTTCATATATATCCTACACGCAAACCAAAAATCTATTACAATGAATGTTAGTTCCGTTTCCTATCATCCTCTGTTCATGAACATCGCAGCGAATGTTAGAAGTTGACCTTACAGGCGATGTAATGGTTTTTTGTCTTTTTCATTTCGTGTTCTATCTACGCTTTCGACTATACCAGTAAGCTTGTCGAACGACGCACATTGTAGAACAATGTAGAATGGCACACACACTTGCCTAGAATCTCTCCAGCAGAAAAAGCATACGAAGTCAAGTATGCGAGAAAATGAGCGCTTCATGTTTGCTTTTAGGCTATCCATATTCAGGAGCATGGAGAGAGCAGTGGAGAAAGGACAGGTCTGATAATCGAAGCTTTCTTGGTTCGAGTCCAGTCGGCAATCGGATTCCTATTTTTTTCGACATAACTAATTTACCTCACTAATACACTCTACATTTTTCGGTCTCCAATTTTCTTGCATTGGACCGAAGGTAGGTATATCGCATCCTCGGTTCATGCGGTCTCCACTTACATCCTCTGATGATGAATCCCACATCCCTCGGTTGGGTGTATATCTTCAAAAATTGCTGTCTTAAATCGGTAATTTGAACATTTTTCTGTATGCCTCTATTTCGCGATCTAATAACAAATTCGTGATCAGCAGAGTGAGGAAATGGAGGTTAGAATTGGAACGTGATCTTACTTATTCAATTCATACTTATGATTCGAAAACAAATTTATATGATCCTTAAATCATTTGTTTTATTTTTAAAAAGCATGAAAAATACCGGAATAACGGATGATTGGAACCATATCTTTCCGATCAATAAATGTCACTTTTGGTCACTTTTTTTTTGTTTAAAAGTTACTATTTGATCACTATTTTCGTAATTTTAGTCAATAAAGTCACTACTATTGCATCATATACCCACTACCAGCCCTGGGTATGTCATTTAGAATTTAGGAAAGTGGTATCCCAATAATTTTTTTGATTATACGTCAGAAATCCATAGAAATTTTCCTCATAATTTCCTTCAAATGCTTCTCAAAATGCTTTTGAGAGGGAGCTCTTGGAATTTTCTTGCAACTCTCCTTAGAAACTTTCTTCAGAATCTCCTGGAACACTACTCTGAGTTTCTTTCGAAATATGATCAAAATGTTCAGCCAAATCCCCCCAAATTTTTTGATATTTATTAAAAATTGCTATACATTCTTTTAGGAATACTCTTGAAACTATCTTCCAACTAGCTTAAAATACTGCAATTATCTGTTTTAGCTCAGAATTAAAATAGGATTCTCTTGGAATTTCAAATTTCATTGCAGCTCTCCTCAGAATTTTTCGTTGATTCAAGATTGATCAACATTTAAGAGATTTGCAGCTGTAGGTGTTTGTAATAGTCATATCATCGTTAAATTTGCCTCAAGGTTAATTCATTTTAATATCCCTTTCGGATCCGCTTGGAATGCTTCTTGAAATTCATTCCCGTTTGCTTTTAAGTACCCTTGAAATTCATAATCCCCATAATAGTATCTTCAGAACTACCTTGCAATTTTTTTGAAATACTTCTCAAAATTATCGAAAATTTCTGTTCAAATTTCTTTGAAATTCTCCCCAGAATTTGTTTTTAATCATGCCTAGAATCTCCTCAAGCGTGAATACCTATCACCCCAGCAGGCCTGGATTCAATTCCAGTCGCTATTCTTATGGAAAATACTTTGCAGAATAAAGTTTTTAAGCCAAACTTCAATTAAAATAGTTATTAACACTCCGAAGGCGATGTCTCCGTTTTAAGTTATGTTTTTAAGGAGTGTTTATGGGTTTTGCAGGGGCCCCCCTTAGCTCAGCCGGTAAAGGTGCAGCTACAAAGCAAGACCATGCTGGAGGGGGGTTCGATTCCCGGTTCGGTCTAGGAATTTTTCGGGTTGGAAAATTTTTCGACTTCCCTGGGCATAGAAGTTTGATTGGACTTGCCACACAATTATACTAATGCAAAAATGGTACAGGCATCCAAAGCTCTCAATTAATAACTCTGGAAGTGCATCTAGAACACTAAGTTGAGAGCACGCAATAAGCTAATATGCGATAAGCAATAAGCTTGAAATGCGAATAAGAAGAAGAAGTTATGGGTTTTGCAAGTGGCCTAAGATCCATACATTAGATTAATGGGTACAAATGTTCATAATTAGCCAAAATACAGTCACGGTTCCTATATATGGATCCTGGAGACAACGGAACGGTCCTCCGGAAGATTCAGAACTTCCGTAAAATTGGTCAATCCATGAAACTGATCCTAGAGCTCCGCGTTTTTTTTTCGAAAACACGTGGAACTGTAATATTAGAAAGAATTTTGGGTTGTGATATAAAAATGGACCTGGATGGCCATGGGATCATGCTCCGGGAGATCCGGAACATCCGTAAAAGTGATTCATCCATGAAACTGTTTCTAGAGCTTCGCAGTTCTTTCGAAAACACGTGGAACTGTAATATAAGAAAGAATTTGGCGTCGTGACATAAATATGGACCCGGTTGGCTATGGAACCGTCCTTCGGAAAATTTGGAGCATCGGTAAAATTGGTTCATCAATGAAACTGCTCAGCAGTTTTTTTTAATCTCTTGGAACTGTGATATAAGAAAACATTAGGTCGTGACGTAAACATGGACCTGGATAGGCATAAGACAGTCCTCTGGAAGATCTGGAACATCCTTAAAAGTGGTAGATTCATGAAACTGATCCTAGAGCTCCGCAGTTTATTTAAAAAATATTAGAAACTGATGATGATTTTAGTGCTCTATTCTACGCGCCAGAAAAACCAATGTTGCCTGCTGAACAGTTGATTGAGCATAATCATAAGACATTAGTGGCTTGAATCATTAATAACTTTTTATGCGTACATTATGCCGAAAAGTGATTTTGAACAAAGTTGTAGCTGAAAAAAATTGCTATGAGCTCAATTATCATTGTTTAAAGCAAAGCGATATGGTGAATTGTTAGATGGATATGAACATTTGGTTTTCCCACAGTAATTTCCTTATAAACTTCAAATGGTTTGTCCCATATCAGTTTCTTACCAAATAAGTTCAAATTTTGGGAGTCTAATCAGGACCCGATTTGGAACCGTGTGAGCACTGTGGAGTGAAAATTTCAAAATTTGCATCAGTCTAATGGTCAACCAATTTAAAATCCATAACTAGCCTATTCATGAGAAACCATGAAGATAGAGCCGTCGATATAGTTTTGGTGCAAAGTGTAATATTTTCTTACCACAGGTTCCCCAAGGGCAAATCGGTGGCCCTGGTGTGGCCAATATGGTAAATGGTTCATTTCAAGACTACAAGTAGCTTATTCATGAAAAACCATGAAGATAGAACCAGCTCTGGTGCTATCTTCGGTCCCAAGCTAGTCGAATCACCCCTCGAAACATAGGAAAATCCACTAACCCCTCATTTTATCTGTCAAACTTTCATAGCGAATCAAAACAAACATGTGTGTACTACTAGAATTTCGACTAGAATGGGCTACGTTAATCGATTTGCTTGGGACCAATAGGCTAGTCAAGTAGTGAGCCAATTTAAAATCGTTAGTTTCGTATCGATTGTTGGTAGAGCCGTCGATAGGCGTAAATATTGAGTATGTTTAGAGTAAGTTGATTTTCCGCAGTTAGCTCACGAGATGTCGTTACTTGTGACTGTGGTCCAAAAAAATGGTTTTCAATAAAAGCAATAATTTATCTGTTTTATATTGGGCAGTATTTTAAGGATCTTAACCCTCCCGCACATCCATAGACACCATGCAACACCCCTCCCTCTCCTCACATGGTTTGTGGACAGTCCTTCGAAGTTTCATTCTGAACACGATTATTTTAAATTATTCATTGCATTCGCTCAACCGAACATCAGAATCCCCTCACTTTTTCACTCTCAAATTTTAGTCAAAAAAAAAACACTGTTAAAACGATAATGATGTGACTAAATCAGGAGTATCATAAACGCTTCCAATGCTTCCCTAGTTCAAACCGATGACTGATGGTGCCTCGTAGGAAGGCAAAACCTCACGCTACACAGCTACGACCGTTACCGCCCTCCGTTTCCTGTGTCTGCCTAAATGCGGAGAGATTTGCGCTGCTGGAAAATGCTAAAAATGCTAAACTCCGTCCGGATTCCCTAGTGATTTGCGGTGGCTTTTCGAACCGACAACATATCAACGGCCGACGACGGCACAGAGCACAGTCAATTGAATTAACAACAACAAGGGGAAAAATGATGACGATCAACTAAGGACGGTTCGGTTCGTTGGTGGTGGGCTATAAACAGATTTAGAAGATAAACATCAAGTGGGGAGTAAAGTGACAATAATAGACGGAAATTATGCGTTTTTCCTCTTGCAAATTAATTTGACGTGCCCACGGATGACGGGATGTTTATGAAGATTAATCGCACTTGACACGCTTCTGATTGCGCGTTGCAATCGGAATTGGACCGTTAGTAAGCTTGGGGTTTGGGTGGACTGTGGATTGTTTCAATTGGGTCTAATGTTGGACTCAGTTTTGGAAATGGTCAGATTTTGGCTGATTGTTGGAGCTCTTCGAACAATTTCACCTGGGGCCTCATTGGGTCGTTTCGCCTTGGTCTCAACATTGTCATCCCTACACTGAAAGGAAACATTTCCACTCTTACAGAACTGGACGAAACCGATTCCGAGCCATGTTCCGACGATGATGGAACCTCCCCGCACAGTGCGTCCCACTCGAAAACGGCCAACGGTGCCGGCAGTGGTACGGGAGAAAAAGAAAACTGCTCCAAATCCCGCCGGAGACGGACTGCCTTCACCTCGGAACAGCTGCTAGAGCTGGAACGGGAATTCCATGCCAAAAAATATCTCAGCCTAACGGAGCGCAGTCAGATTGCCACCACGTTGAAGCTGAGCGAAGTACAGGTACGGTTACTCCGTTCATTATTTGTGCGTTGAACTAATTTCTCCCTACTCTTTGGACAGGTCAAAATTTGGTTCCAGAACCGGCGGGCCAAATGGAAACGGGTGAAAGCTGGTCTAAATTCACACGGGCTGGCCGGGCGGGGTGCCAGCGGGGCTGCTACCAACAGTACCAAAATTGTAGTTCCTATTCCGGTGCACGTGAACCGGTTTGCGATCCGATCTCAGCACCAGCAGATGGAGAAGATGAACCTAGTCGGCCCGAAGGCAGAGCTCCGCAAGGACCTGGGCATGGAGGCGAGCAGCTTCGAGCGGTTCGGTTTAAGTAAGTTGGCGTCCAAATCGGCGGCGGGTGGGTTTTAAAGTTGGGAGAGTGTGCTGCGGGAGACGGAGTGAACGCGACCAATTTGCGTGATTGTGATTGTTTTTAGGCTAGAGTAAATTTTAGAACTTGAATGAGATTGAGAGCAATTTACTCATTGGCTGGCAGTGCGGGTTGAAGCAAGAGAGGGCCAATTAGTCATCGAGTGTGGGGATTTATTTTTCAAATCGTTGCACCCGGGCCAAATGCAGTCACGGATGGAACGGACTGCGGGAGATGTACATTAATTTGGGCAATCTGTTGTAAATGTGTTTGGAATCGCTCGACGATGATTATACAAATTGTGTGTACATGTACAACAGCCACGAATTGAGTGCTACTTAATGTAATGATTTTAATTTTACGGGACGAGTACGAACATTGCGCGCAGTCAGAGCTAATAAAGTACATCCGATTCTAATTGCAGTGATTGTTCATCGTTTGTGCAGTTTAGAGAAAGCCTTGTGATTTAAATTTAACATTATACTAGTTGAACGATTACAAATGGCACACACATAAACAACTGTAACTAATTAACTATTATACCATATAGCTTTAAATTTTCAGATAAGATCTTTTAGAGGGTACTGAACAAGTCAAACAATTTTTATGATTCAAATACGAATATTGCTTTAAGAATTTTGTACAGTGTGAAAACCTTTGCTTATTTTTACTTATTTTTTTTCCATTCCTTGTTCAATTTATTGACGGATTATGAATCTTTAAAATGTGATAGAATATACTGTTTTTTGTGTAAAAGGATAGATTTTTAATTTTTTAAATCAAAATTTGCCGAAATTTTGAAGTGTAATTTTTGACCAACTGTACAATATTTTGAAATATGATATTTAAAAAAAAAAATTTTTTTGGTTTCCATAAGTCTATACCAACAAAGACGAAAGAATCTCGTGGATTAACCGCTGATTTGAAATTTAGACTGTACAACATTTATTAGACAGCATGTTGTTCTTATGGCTATTACTCGAGATAAAACACCTCTCAGTCGAATGCTGATGAAGTGGGCGTCTTAGTGGAACACCTGCATAAAGAAAGAGAGAAAGATTAGTAATTTTCATTAAATTCCACTACCTTATTCGTTTATCCTTGTGCAGACTTCTTTAATGTCTTGAACTAATACTCGACTACCTCTCAAACCTTCATAGAAATTACATGTGTGCGTTATGGAATAAACAAACATCACTGAAAATTTCAAGCCATTTGGTATAATAGTTCAAAAAGTTATTGCTATTCATGTGTGTGTACTATTTCTTTGAATTCACCCTTTACTACATATTTTTTGTTGTATATCTTAATTTTTTTTCCAGTGGTGAATGTTTGGCAGGAATTCAGTTTTTCGTTACAACCAACGCATGTTTATTATAGATGCGTTCAAAGAAGTTCCTGGTTGTTTGAAAGCTATCCATACTGCGACAACTGTAACGTTTAACCACAGGTAAGGAACCAATGAGTGACTTGAAGTAAAATCTGTAATGAGCAAGGAATCAAAAATATCTCCAAATGACAAAATGACAAGCGATCAACGAACCGAATGATAACGATATGTCAGAAGTGGAAAGCAATAATGATATAATCTTCTTGCTTTTTTTCATGACAGGCAGCCCGTGCGACACAGCTCACTCGGGGCGGTAGAAGGAAACGAGCAAATTGTTGGCTAGCTGCTTCACGAAGTAAAGCCGAAGATGATACACGTGTGTTAATGCGATTTTTTTGTTATGTCTTTTCTCGATTCAGATCAAACTATGTCCTCATCCATGTATATTGCAACAAAGCAGGCAAGCAATATATTATTATCCTTCTACCACTCCGATCGAGCTATGTTACAGAGCGAATTTGTCATTGTGTCGTAGAAACCGTTCTGTCTGTATCGTTGGTTGCTTAATGTGTTTAGATTCGCTGGTAATGAGACATAATACATGAGGTCTGGTATATTTGGCATACAGAGGTTTGTCATAACAACATTTGGGATTGTGGACCCTTGACGCCTTGGTGGCTAAGGTGTTCCAGTAATAGCGGCGTACCTATAGTTGCGGTATGAGGCTTATGCCGGAATAATTGTGGAAAACCAAATAAATTTACTGGTCATCGGTAATTCTCCTCAATAAATAGTAGTAGATTTGCATATATGAAACTAATGATTTTCCTTAAAATGTTAACTCTTTTGAACCTATAGCTACGATAATGTTCCTATAATAGTGGAATCCATTAGAAACCAATGTGATCCACTAATATAAGCATCAAAGTTAGCAACTACCACAACTACTGGAATAGTGTTCCTATTAATGTAGGATGAGTTTTCCAAAAAATATGCAATCTTATCAGAATGTAATATTTTTCCAGCAAAAATAGAGGTGAAAAGCAATAGATTGATGTTTAAACATTGTATAAAAACGTTTACTTATTTTTTAAAACATAAATTGTCTTAGTTCCTCCACTTATGGCACATCCACCATAACTAGGACTGCTCGTTGATATTTTTGAAAATAGCCTATTTTTTGGTCAATAGTTTAGTAATTCAACGAAAAAGACGTCGTACATTGACCTTTAGTAAAGCACAAGCCTTAAATATTTTCAAAACATTCCATTCGGACATAAAGTGTTATTTTGGGTTACCCTAATCCCATGCTTTTGCAAGTCATAGTTGATTGAAAAGCGATTTTTATCCTTTTCCCAACTAGGTACTGGCTGTTTCACATCTCGACTTCATTGTGTAACGAAATAGTGTGAAATTGTTTTAAACGCTTATTAGCTGGACCAGGTATCGATGGATTTTTATTACTAATGTTTCACTTGAATCAGATTCAATGTATTTTGTTTTTGGTTCTACAATTATAATCAGCGAATCCAAACACATAAAGCAACCAACTATACAGACAAAACGGTTGCTACGACTACCATGACAAATTCGCTCTGTAACATGGTAGAAGGATAATGCTATATTGCTTGCCTGCTTTGGACGAGGACATAGCTTGATATGAATCGATAAAAGACATAACAAAAAAAATTCCCATTAACACACGTGTAACATCTTTGGCTTTACTTCGTGAGGCAGCTTGCCAACAATTTTCTCGTTTCCTTCTACCGCCCCGAGTAAGTTGTATCTCACGGGCTGCTTGTCATGAAAAAGAAGGAAGAAGATTATATCATTATTGTTTTCCACTTCTGACATAGCGTTATTATTCGGTTCATTGATCGCTTGTCATTTTGTCATTTGGGGATATTTTTGAAACCATGATTATAATTTTTTATCAATAGTAAACTGTTGAGAAAAAAAATCAGTAACTTGACCAACAGTTGTTGTTCTACGATGTTTGTCAAGTTTCAAGTGTCCAGGGTTTTCAATATTCAAAAGATTACATTTTTCATTAACTTTTTTTTTCAAGGAAAATTGTCAAAATTAACATTTGACATTTTGAGATATTAATGTTCAATTTTTTTAATTTCATCTCAAAATTATGATAAAAAATTACCATGTATGGTTTTCTTAGAAAGAATTTATTGTTCCCCACAACTTTGTCTCAGGCTGTATTTCGATCAAAAGTGACGTTTTCGTGCTACAATTTATTAAAAAATGTCAAAGACGCCATTTTGAAAAAAAAAAATGGCGGAATTTCGTAAAAAAGGTGAATAATTGCCTACAACAAACAATTATACAAAGATTCACGCAAATCGAAGAAGGTCGAGTCTAATCGATTCATCGTTTGTCGTGAAATTACTACATATCAAGAAGACTGGCAACTCTTCAATTTCATCATTCGCGGTGTTTTTTTCGAATATCCATTAATAAGTAAAAAAACTACAAGGAACACCTATGGGGTTGTACGCAATGCAATGATGATGTAGGACTACGTGGTATTATATAATAAATCTTATTTGTCTACTGCAGCAGGAGCTTGTGTTTTGTTTAGGAATAGGAATTCTCTCTGTTTATTGATGAATCTACGTTACGGTCGACCAGCAGATGGAAATGATGAGAAAATGAAAATGACGTTTTGCTACCTGTCAAATCGTATGGAATATGTTTTAGTACATCATCACTTTTGCGGTTTTGGATTTCAAACCTAGGTGTCGCATGTACTGGTGCAGTTTCGCGCAGATGTATCAATACTCTTTAGCAAGTATGACGCGCTTGAAATAGTTGACCCACAGCGTCTCACGAAGAGCTACTGATTCCGATCAATAGCGGTGTGGCTTTTTCCTCCTTCCTCGCTGCTTGCAGGCAGCCTTTCGTTGTGTACTGGAGAACACCACCACTCACCACGCGGTGATTGAATAAACCGGATGGAATTCAACTTTGAAATCCGTGATAGGGAAATACATCCCTGTCCAAGGATGAGGGGCTTGATGATGATTTGTCAAGTGTCACTATGATTTTTTTTTTTACAATTTGTTAAAATTGTAGTTTTTCTCCAGTTCATTGATTTGAAAGGTTCATGCGAGTTAATTTCACGGAGCCGTAAATTGTAGTTTTATCATAATTTTAATAATAGCATAAAATAAAATAGTAATTTTAAATTCGCTTTTGTAATGCAAAGGTAAATAGTTTGCTTTGAGTGTAAAGTTAATTTATAAGAAAGTTCTAACAGTTTTCTTTGCACTTCGAAACTTGACGGGTCATACCTCTAACATAGTAGCAGTGACAGTGTCGCATGTCCTAACAACAACTGCCTGCGACTAGTGTTCGAGGGGCCGACAGGGCTGAATACGGGTCAATACTAACAATACTCTAACACTAACATGACCCCGAAACTAACGTTCATTCATTGCACTAATTGTTATAATGTAGTTGTACTTTCCTAATAATCCATCTATCACAGACAAACAGACATAACCACAGGTTGTTCATCGAACACGCATTTGACGGTCAATTTGAGTGTTTTTGGTTGGTGGTGCCGCCACCTGTGGCGCGCACGGTCGGTTCCCTTGCGTTTGACGTCTGCACACTAGCGCCATCTGTTCAGCGTACTATCCATCACATGATACTCAACAGATGGCGGTAGTGTTTTAGTGACTATGTTTCGTGGAGAGAAATATTAAATGTGTTATTTCTGTTTGTCTGTACATCTATGTTTCTTTTTCGTTGTGTGTGTGTGTGGGGGGGGGGTTAATGTAACCAATACTAATTATTTGTTTTCTATATCCCTTCACCATCACCCCATATCCCATCATTTTGACGAGAGATGAGTTACTTGCATGGTGCACGCCCAAGTCGTACTACAGGATAATATGCTGAGCGTGGTTATATCACAAAAACCACGCAGGAACGAAAATCGATAGAGCTGATAATGAGGTAAATTGGGTTCTTTAAGGGTATTGAAATAAAGGCATATTCGTAATCTGCATTAAAAATGTAACCCAAACCCAAAATTTCA